TTCCAATAGAAAAAGAAAATTCTAGAGTTGCTACAACTAAACCATTAGATGAACTTTTTACTAATGTCGGTCAAAAGTTTGAGACAGATACCGTAAAGCATGAAGGCTATCGTTTTGACTACCCATTAAGATGGTTAAGAGACCCATCTGTCACAAAAGCTATTGGCTTTCGTAGAATGAAGTTCATTTCAGAAGCCATACATGGTTTCCCATTTACGGTCGGTTTTGAAGTTCGATACTATAACAAAGAAAAACGTATGTATGAGAAATTTGAACAGGGAAAACTTTTACAAGTTAATTTGCTTATAAACTTAGAAACAACTCTTCAAGCTTTTCAAGAAAAAATAAACGATATCTATATTGAATATGCAAACCAGTTTAACATTGACGAAGGAGAATACCATCTCGATATTATTTATGACAGGAAAAATGCAACTGTTCAAATCAATAAAATAGAAGACCTTGGAGAAAACGTTTATATTTCTACAAAATATAACAACTTGGCATGGTATAGATTTATGAGGATGTTAAATCAGCCTGCAGCATATCCAGTACACCCGGACTATTATGAAGTCGAAAACCCTAATGGAACATATGAAAATATTTTCGACCCAGATGCTATTATTGTTCATGCTTCATTTTCTGGTGCGCAAAACTCTTTTTTATGTCTGATGAATGACTTTTACGAAAAACCTACAAAGTTATATGAACCGCCGAGTGGAAGTATTTCAGACTTTCAAGTATGGTTTACTACAGATGGAAGAAAAAGAATAATTCCATTATACCATGCGTTTTACTTAGAACTTAGTTTCATATACAACTACTATCGAACGAAACAATAAGAATTACCGAAAAAGTGACAAAACATCAAAAACAGGGAGGGGGTCTCAATTTTTATTACTTATATTATTTTACAATATTTATATAAATACTCTTTATAATATATTTTACTATAAAATTATACCTCAAATTCAAATATTTAAAATATTATTTACATAATTATCTCAAAATTATATTTTTATATATTATTTTTCATATGTATAAATCATATAATCTATATCTATGCAAATCTCATCTAAATTTTTTTGAAACAAACCGCTACCATTTTATAATGGTCCATCTTAAATTCATCATAAATTCTGGTACATGTTAGTACCAGAGTCTTCAAATCTCAAACACTCTGGTACCAACATGTACCAGACGCGAGTTTCCAATGCCCTCGTACAATTTTCTATTAAGATCTTCTTGAATGAGAAGGTCTTTATAGAAACTCGTACGAGGGCTTCTCTTTTAAATACTCTGGTACCTGCTGGTATCGGAGTCGACTTTACAGCCCTTTCCCCAATTTTGAAGCTGGGGAAAGTTTTCAAGCAATGAAAGGGAAGCTCTCGCTATGAGGTGAAAATCTAGAATTTTTACCTCATAGCGAGTAATCCTTTGTTAATTGCTTGAAAACTTTCTTCAAATTATCAAAATTTCGAGGAAAGTTTCCTTGCTTCAAAGTAGAGATGGAGCCCTTTGAGCCACTGCATATAGGTCAGTGACTCAAAATACTCCATCTCTACTAGAAATCGCCAAAATTTGGGTCGCAATCTTTGAAATGCGACGCAAGTTTGGGCAATTTCGCGAGGGACTTGCTCCATTTGGTGCATAGATTCACACTCTATGCACCAGATGGAACAATTCTTTCGCTGACAGCGGGAAACTTTGTCTGAATAGTTTAACATTCAGACAAAGTTTCCCGCTGTCAGAGAGGGAATGGAAGGGTAAGAGGTATATATTCATAATGTATACCTCTTACTCTTCCATTCCCTCAAGAAAGTTCAAAAACTTGGGTGCAATCAGAACTGATTGCACCCAAGTTTTTGAACTTTATATAAGGAATTGTTGGCTATGATGTACTGATCATGAATCAGTACATCATAGCCAACAATTCCTTCGCAAACAGTGGGAAACTTTGTCTGAATAGTTTAACATTCAGACAAAATTTCCCGCTGTCAGGGAGGGAATTAGAGGGTGGGAGATATATAGATAGACTATAAATCTCTCACCCTTTAATTCCCTCTAGAAAGTTCAAAAACTTGGGTGCAATCAGTTCTGATTGCACCCAAGTTTTTGAATTTTGTATAAGGAATTGTTGGCTATGATGTGGATAGCCGCTGCCAGACCAAATGAATTAACCGTTGTGAATAACGTTTCTGAATCTTTATTTAAAAAGATAAAATATCACGATTTTGGCTGCGTTAAAAATCAAAGAATTGATGTTTTTGTCAAAAATCTTTTAGAAGAAGTTGCACCCAATTACTTTTATCGTATTAAAAACGATTTACTTCAAACAGGTTTTATTCCTTCAATTAGAATTCGCGAGCCTCGATTGACAGATTATAAAACAAAATTGAAAAGAGAAGTTCAATCACGTTTATACCAAGTATTAAATTTTGTTCAGAATCAAGAAGCCAATTTGAATCCATTAAGATTTTTATTGGAAAATGCTGAAGAAAAACTTTCTCAAATAAATGAGAAGATACAAAATTCAATTACATATTTAAGATCGTTTGAAATTCCAAATGAATTGTTAGATACGTATATGTTAGAAATTAATGAATTTTGTTATAATTCTCTAGATTATATTTTAGAACATTTCGAAGAATTTTTAGAGGATTTCAAAGAAAAGAATAATTTAATAGACTAAAAAATTTATTATTTTTATTTATTGTGAATTTTAAATTGTCACTTTTAAGTGTTACTCCCTACTGAAAGTGTCACTTTTTGAGTGTCACTTTTTCGGAAATTCTTATATACTCGTATGGTTTACTACAGATGGAAGAAAAAGAATAATTCCATTATACCATGCGTTTTACTTAGAACTTAGTTTCATATACAACTACTATCGAACGATAAAAATATAATTTTTTAATACGGTTGAGGTGTTGGATTTGGTTGCCAACTAGACTGTGGTGCAGGTTCAGGCTGTTGTATAACAGGAGCTTGCTCTTCTGGTTCAGGGTCTTTAGGTATAATACCAACAAACTGACCTACTCTTTTACCAATATTTTTGACACCGTTCCATACTCCTCTTCCGACAGATTTTATTACATTCCATATACCTCTTCCAACATTTCGAAAGAAGTTTCCAATACTACTGAAGAAACCCATTTTACTAGTAGTAAAAATCTAATGTCCACCTAGTCTCTTACGTTTCCTGTTGAGTTCCATAGCATTCTTTAACTGGAGCTCATACATTCTGTTTCTCCTCTGGTAGAAAACATATTCTGGGTCAACTCCTGTGTTCGCGTCATCTGCATAAAGTTGTTTATATCCCACTTCAGGGTTTGTATAAAACTCTTTCCATCTCATATTTGCATACCATGGTGGCAAACCTAACGCAGCGTCATTTGACATGGCAGTTTGCATTTGTACATCTGTTGGCACTTGACCATAGTTTGCCATTGCAGTTTGTATTCTAACTTCATTTGGAATATTCTCTGGGTTTGGTTGTCCAGGTTGCTGTGCATTCGCTAAGTTCTGTGCGTCCATTTAATATTAGATAAAAATATCTCTTACGAGTACATATGCTGAATATTTGCAGGCATTGGTTCATCTTCATATTCTCTGTACTTTTCTGCCACGTCAAATAAATAAATGACACAATGGAAAAAACCTAAAACAAGTAGTCCTATTTCAAACCACATTTACTTACTAATAAAATTTCTTTATTGTGACACTTTCTCCGGTTTATAGGACCTCTCTCATATTCTATCTTATCGTATCTAAACTCATAGTCATGTATGTCCTCTAACCATCTCATAACGGTTTCCAAACCACTTTTATCGGATGTAAAGTAAAAGCATGGATGGTTATGTATAACGTCTAAAGTTTCTAAAGAGTCTCTCAAAGTCCAGTCTACTTGGTATTGAAAATCCCATGTGTTATAGAACGGCGGGTCCACTATAAAGAAAACATTTTCCTTGTCTTTATATTTTTCATACAACTCTGTCCAATGACATCTCACAAACTCTATACCCTCAATATATTTTTCTATGTCCTCTTTGAAAACATTTGTATAGTTAAGATATAAAACTTTTGACATAAGTGTTTCAATGTCATGAACTCTTATAGCACCACTATATAATAGTCTAGCAGATATACTATTCCAGTCTATATATTCTGCTTTTTTCAAAACCTCTCTCACAATATTTTTCTTATCTAATGGTATACGTTCCATCTTACCTATAGGTATCTTTTCTTTTAACTCTTTCAATATATTATTTGTGTCTGGAATATGTTTGAGACGGTCCATATAGTTGTCGAAGTCATTGCATATAATCTTTGAGTCTGGGAATATTGTATGACATAAATGGGATATATAGAAACTTCCACCGAACAAATCTACAAATATTAGACCATTCGGTAGTTTCTTAAGTTGTCTCAATATAATATCTTTACATCTACTCTTATTTCCAAAGAACGGTAACGGTGGTTTTGTAAAATTCATTCTCTATAATAATAAAAATGTTTTTACCCGAAAAGTGGCAGAAAAGTGACAAAACATGAAAACATATATAATTTGTGAAAAGCGACACAAAAAGTGACATTTAAAAAAGTGACGCCATTCATATGATGTAAATAACAACGGTTTTGGTTTTGTCACCGGCTGGTCGGCTGGGGTTCGGTCCTCCTCTTGGGTCTTGGGCAAAATTTCTTATGGGCTAGAGGGCGCAACGCGCCTGGAAGCCCCACTTACCTGACCTTCAGCCGCCCAAAAAAAGAATTTAAATTTTTTCAACTTTAATTAAACTTAGTTTATGGGATATCATTGCCATATTGATGTTACAGATAACATCAATGATCATGCCTGTAACTCTTCGAAATGTAAAAGTGGAAATGAAATCATGATTTTCAAATTTCAGATCCGTATATACTAGTAGGTGATTTTTACTACAATATCATTAAAATGCGTTAATTTATTAAACAAACAAAAAACAAAATAACATATTTATTTATAAAGAAGCGAATTTGCGTAAAACAGAAAGTACCTTTTCATTATTGAGTTCCAGAGCTAATTCTAATGGATTCTTTCCATCTTTGTTTAGGACCTCGATATCAGCAGATTGTTCCATCAATACATTGACTAAATAAGGAGCATTCATTGAAATAGCCAAATGCAAAAGTGAATTTCCATCAGGATAAATGAAATCGATATCACTTCCGCACTGTAAGAATGTCCTTGCCAAGTTAGGTTTGTTTGTTCTAACAGCGAAAGCAACACCTGTTTCCATGTTAGGAAGAGGAACAGTTATATCGAAATCGTATTTCCACAAACAGTGAATTACATCAGATGTTTCGTCATCATCATCAATATCATATTCAAGAGGAATAGCAATGATTGAGTTATTGAGTAACTTCCTGTTGTAGTTCTTCAATAACTCATTGACAGAAAACAAATCACGCATTTGAAGTGCTCTAAACAATGGAGTATAATTCTCATTATCCAATATATATCTGTCTGCTCCTCTTTCTAAAAGAACTCTAACTGATCTGTGGCTTTCACAAAGAACTGCATCATGAAGAGGAGATCTTCCTTCATCGGTTATTGCATCAATTTCTGCGCCGTGGTCAAGTAAAACAGAGATTGTTTCGGCCAAACATGTCTGATGTATTCGGATCAGTTTCCATGTCAAGGAAAACTGACATAACTCTGTAACTGTTGTAACGTGTTGCATAAGCAAGAGGAGTGTTTCCTTCACTGTCTTCTTCTTGTAAACTGTCAAGTTTGTATTCGTGTTCGACCAAATACTTAAAGATCTTCTCCGCATTGTACTTGGCGCACAAATGGTAGAGGTTTTGGTTGCCTTCGTAGTTGTCTATCTCTTGGACCTTTGAGAAAACAAGGTTGAAGAGCTCGAGGTTGGTGGATCTGATGGCAAATGGAATTGCCTGGTAGAAGTCGATGCCAGGGAAGGCCATGAAGCTTTCTGTAAGTTCAGGGAGCTTGAAACCGAAGGACGCGTTGAAGAACAGTTGAATATTATCCATATGTTGGGATAATTCCTGGAAGAACAACTCGAAGTTCATGGATTGAGCAACGTACCAGTAGTCAACATCGAGTTGCAAGTTCTCTCTAAGGAAATTGAAGACTTCGGTGTTGTTCATTCGAACGGCGTAGTATAATGGGGTATCGAATGAGTTATCGGATGGTAATCTACGGACTTCGTTGATGCTCTGGAGGATCCTGCTAATATTGGCCTCTTTCTTGCTGATGATGGCCGCTGATAAAATATCATCGTTGACTTCGTAGCCATTGGTAAGGAAGTAGTCGAAGATAGAGTCCGCTCCATAGAGAGTTGCCAACATGAAGAGGCGGTGATCGTACATCTCGGCGCTTCTTAAGTTTTCGACGAAATTCGTCAAATTGCCATCGAGAATGTAGTTAAACTCGGTCTGGAAGTTCTGGTCCTTGTTTCTGAGTTCATAAGGATCATATATTTCTCCATTGATATGGCTAGCGATGCCTTTATGGAGATAAGAATCGTCATCACTGATCGTTTCGAAATTAACGACTTCTTGGTCGATTAGCTCAATCAGGAGATTAGTGAAATCCTCAAGAGTCATCGGGTTGGTCAGGGACCTAAACATTTCGTAAACGATTTCTGGTCTTATTTCATTTTCAACAATAAAGTTACAGATGGCGTCAGGGGCGGTATGTGGGTTATCTACCAATGACTTGTACATGTTGCAGTAGGGCTTGAACATGTTAAGGGTGCCCCCGTATGTACGTTTATTTGAGAGGAGGAGGATTACCCTCTCAATTTTGAGGGATTCGTTAGTTTATTTTCTCGATGAATATGCAATAAAATTTGATTTTTACCTTATCAATATACTTCATATAATATACACATGTTCATGTAAAAACTTTTTTCCAAAATCCTCAGGAATTAAGGAATTTTTGAATTTTAAGAATTTTTTTCGAATTTTTTCGAAAAAAAAATATTTTCAGAACAGCCTTAACGGCTAAGATTTAGGAATATAGATCTGCAATTTCCCCAAATGAACGGGGTGGATAAGATCCCATCCCTATCGTCATCCCAGTGTCAATTTTACAAAAAAAAATTCTTAATAAAAATTTTTATTAAAAAATTCTTATCTTTTTTCATTGAAATTTAAATAATAAAATAAATTTGGCTGTAAAAACCATCAATTATTATAATTCTTATCGAAACACATGTAGAAAAACACTTATCTTTTATACTCTTTCTATTTGAAACCTGTTTAGTTCAGTAATTAATAATAAAAATTGTGAAAATAGTGACTATTTAACTAAAAATATATTAAATGATGTAATAATGAGATATACATATATTTTTACGAATTATAATTAGAAATTATTCTGGTCTGGGAATCAAAAAAGGTAGTGGGGCTTCCAGGCGCGTTGCGCCCTCTAGCCCTGAAGATGTTTAGTATAAATGAAGTTTATATTCAGAGGGCTTCCAGGCGCGTTGCGCCCTCTAGCCCTGAAGATGTTTAGTATAAATGAAGTTTATATTCAGAGGGCTTCCAGGCGCGTTGCGCCCTCTAGCCCCGAAGATGTTTAGTATAAATGAAGTTTTTATTCGGAAAATGTTAGTCTTCTGGGTCGAAAACATTATATAAATGTGTCGCTTTTCAACAATTATATATGTTTTCATGTTTTGTCACTTTTCTGCCACTTTCGGGTAAAAAACATTTTATTATTATTATAGAGAATGAATTTTACAAAACCACCGTTACCGTTCTTTGGAAATAAGAGTAGATGTAAAGATATTATATTGAGACAACTTAAGAAACTACCGAATGTCTAATATTTGTAGATTTGTTCGGTGGAAGTTTCTATATATCCCATTTATGTCATACAATATTCCCAGACTCAAGATTATATGCAATGACTTCGACAACTATATGGACCGTCTCAAACATATTCCAGACACAAATAATATATTGAAAGAGTTAAAAGAAAAGATACCTATAAGGTAAGATGGAACGTATACCATTAGATAAGAAAAATATTGTGAGAGAGGTTTTGAAAAAAGCAGAATATATAGACTGGAATAGTATATCTGCTAGACTATTATATAGTGTGCTATAAGAGTTCATGACATTGAAACACTTATGTCAAAAGTTTTATATCTTAACTATACAAATGTTTTCAAAGAGGACATAGAAAAATATATTGAGGGTATAGAGTTTGTGAGATGTCATTGGACAGAGTTGTATGAAAATATAAAGACAAGGAAAATGTTTTCTTTATAGTGGACCCGCCGTTCTATAACACATGGGATTTTCAATACCAAGTAGACTGGACTTTGAGAGACTCTTTAGAAACTTTAGACGTTATACATAACCATCCATGCTTTTACTTTACATCCGATAAAAGTGGTTTGGAAACCGTTATGAGATGGTTAGAGGACATACATACTATGAGTTTATATATGACAAGATAGAATATGAGAGAGGTCCTATAAACCGGAGAAAGTGTCACAATAAAGAAATTTTATAGTAAGTAAATGTGGTTTGAAATAGGACTACTTGTTTTAGGTTTTTTCCATTGTGTCATTTATTTATTTGACGTGGCAGAAAAGTACAGAGAATATGAAGATGAACTAATGCCTGCAAATATTCAGCATATGTACTCGTAAGAGATATTTTTATCTAATATTAAATGGACGCACAGAACTTAGCGAATGCACAGCAACCTGGACAACCAAACCCAGAGAATATTCCAAATGAAGTTAGAATACAAACTGCAATGGCAAACTATGGTCAAGTGCCAACAGATGTACAAATGCAAACTGCCATGTCAAATGACGCTGCGTTAGGTTTGCCACCATGGTATGCAAATATGAGATGGAAAGAGTTTTATACAAACCCTGAAGTGGGATATAAACAACTTTATGCAGATGACGCGAACACAGGAGTTGACCCAGAATATGTTTTCTACCAGAGGAGAAACAGAATGTATGAGCTCCAGTTAAAGAATGCTATGGAACTCAACAGGAAACGTAAGAGACTAGGTGGACATTAGATTTTTACTACTAGTAAAAATGGGTTTCTTCAGTAGTATTGGAAACTTCTTTCGAAATGTTGGAAGAGGTATATGGAATGTAATAAAATCTGTCGGAAGAGGAGTATGGAACGGTGTCAAAAATATTGGTAAAAGAGTAGGTCAGTTTTGTTGGTATTATACCTTAAAGACCCTGAACCAGAAGAGCAAGCTCCTGTTATACAACAGCCTGAACCTGCACCACAGTCTAGTTGGCAACCAAATCCAACACCTCAACCGTATTAAAAAATTATATTTTTATCGTTCGATAGTAGTTGTATATGAAACTAAGTTCTAAGTAAAACGCATGGTATAATGGAATTATTCTTTTTCTTCCATCTGTAGTAAACCATACTTGAAAGTCTGAAATACTTCCACTCGGCGGTTCATATAACTTTGTAGGTTTTTCGTAAAAGTCATTCATCAGACATAAAAAAGAGTTTTTGCGCACCAGAAAATGAAGCATGAACAATAATAGCATCTGGGTCGAAAATATTTTCATATGTTCCATTAGGGTTTTCGACTTCATAATAGTCCGGGTGTACTGGATATTCTGCAGGCTGATTTAACATCCTCAAAAATCTATACCATGCCAAGTGTTTATATTTTGTAGAAATATAAACGTTTCTCCAAGGTCTTCTATTTTATTGATTTGAACAGTTGCATTTTTCCTGTCATAAATAATATCGAGATGGTATTCTCCTTCGTCAATGTTAAACTGGTTTGCATATTCAATATAGATATCGTTTATTTTTTTCTTGAAAAGCTTGAAGAGTTGTTTCTAAGTTTATAAGCAAATTAACTTGTAAAAGTTTTCCCTGTTCAAATTTCTCATACATACGTTTTTCTTTGTTATAGTATCGAACTTCAAAACCGACCGTAAATGGGAAACCATGTATGGCTTCTGAAATGAACTTCATTCTACGAAAGCCAATAGCTTTGTGACGGATGGGTCTCTTAACCATCTTAATGGGTAGTCAAAACGATAGCCTTCATGCTTTACGGTATCTGTCTCAAACTTTTGACCGACATTAGTAAAAAGTTCATCTAATGGTTTAGTTGTAGCAACTCTAGAATTTTCTTTTTCTATTGGAAGCATATTTTATCTATAATAAAAATGTCAAATGAAACAGCGTCTATGAGAGAAATACAACACAACCGACAACTCATTATGCAAGCTCTAAATAAGAACACAACAAACTTTTCAAACTATTCTAAGATATCTGAGTCATTGAAAGGGGGTGACTTAAAACGAGATATAAAAATTGCTCACATTTGCTCACATTTTGGCACTTTTTTGTACGTTTGTCAAAAAATTGTGAGGAAGATCTCACAAAAATAGTCAAAATGTGAGCAAATTTTGAGAAGTGCTCACATTTTGACATACGATTATTTTCATACGTTTTTTTGATGAATTCTAATAAAACTTCATTACCACTTTCAGAACGAAGCGTAACTTTTCAGCACGTAACGCTCTATCATGTGTAGTGACATATTATTCAAAAAAACTCAGATTGCTTATCTTATAATAACAATTTCATTAGAAAAAATGCACGATTTCACGCTAAAACTTTGAAGCAATTCTTAAATTCGGATAAAAAATCGATATGTATTACACTTTAAACTTCAAAAAATGGTTCAAAATTTAGACTTAGTTTATCTTAACAATATAGCAGATTTTAAGCCGAACAAGTAGGAGTAATAGAAATAGCTCTTGAAAATAATTACAATTAGTAATAT